CGGCTAATTTTTTGTATTTTTAGTAGAGACAGGGTTTCACCGTGTTAGCCAGGATGGTCTCGATCTCCTGACCTTGTGATCTGCCCACCTCAGCCTCCTAAAGTGGTGAGAGGTTTTTCTAATTGGACAATTACTGTCACCTTAAAAGGAACAGGGTTACCATCTCCCCAAAAGCCGTATCTGGTAGTGAAAGAGAAGTATTCCTATTTCTGAGCTCTAAAACAAGCTTCAGGATCTTATTTTTAAATTGTTATCCTCAGCAATCTATTATCCAAATACACTGCTTCCTTCTCACTCTCCAAACCACCTTTCCCTTCCTGTTTTCTAAAGTTTAAGTCTCTTATCTCAGTAATTTCATGTGTGTTTTGAAATCCCATTCCAAAACACTCACATAATAGGCAAGGCATTGTCCAGAACCAAGAGTTGCTACACTCCTGGTCTTCTGGTCCAGGGGAGCTGCTTGCTTTTGTCTTTCCCACAGTCCTGCAAAGCTCACTTGGTTTTACACCTCCTCCCTGGGTACTTTACCTTCTGCAAATACCAGCTATACAACACCTACCTACTCTAGGAAGTATTCACACATTAATGCAAGCCCATTCCGCCCTAAATCTGTTTCCTTTTAAATTTGCTGCTTCAGGACAATCTCTCAGATCTATCCCCTACCTTCTCTTTAAGACTGCTGACAGCCACTGAACTGGTTCAGGCTCACCACTGTAGTAACTTCCTGACTAGTCAGCCTGCCTCTTCCCATGTCCTTGTTCTCATCTACCCCCAACACCAAAATGACATTCTTGAATAAAATATTCACCAGGAAATGTCACAACTGTCCTAACTGATATCCAACAGAAAAGATAATACCAATATCAAAAGTTAGTATTAATAAGCCTTAATCCAGAAAGCATTTTCTTTTTTTTGAAGAGACGGGTTTTCACCACATTGCCCAGGCTAGTCTCAAACTTCTGAGCTCAAGCAATCTACCACCTCGGCTTCTCCAAATGCTGGGATTATGGGCGTGGGTGACCACGCCTGGCCCCAGGAAGTCTTTTCTTGGCAGCCCATCTCAGAAGGTTTAGATGAAAAGTCCATGGAATAAATAAGATTTTAATACTAGTTATCAGAAAAGTCACTATTCTTATTGGAAAAATACAAATCTCCTCTGTCCCAGAATTACACATAATCACTAACAAAGGGTAACTACAAATTCCTGCTGAAATCTTCCTACTATGGGAATTAGTGTGACTACAGTGATCATTTTATCATGAGGTCAAAAGTAGAAAGTGAGAAAAACCGGAATAATCTGGGTAAAATGAATAGACTTTATTTTGTGGACTTACTTTAAATTTCATCTAATAAACTCGGATTAACAAAAATACTTCTAGGAAAATTCTGAAATTATGCAATTTAGTGTGAAGTAGTTCCAAATAGATTCCTCCAATATCCAAGATAAATTCCAGAGGAAAAACTTTAATGGGGAAGGGTGCTTGCTGTACGGGAGCTTAAAGATGACACGTGGGTATAGAAAAGGACAGTGCCAGGTTGTCAAAAGGCATTTCACTATGTGCAAAAAGTTCCTAGAAATCACTTTAACCAGAAAGGAACATCATCCCCTGAAGCACACAGGCTAGTGGAGCTTCTATTCAGCTATCTTACTGACTAGGACTGTTTTTCTGGACTAGCCAAGGACTAACCAATCTTTGTAGCATAGCTCTTCTTAAGAAAAGCGTATTACGGCCAGGCGCGGTGGCTTACGCCTGTAATCCCAGCAGTCTGGGAAGCTGAGGAAGGTGGATCACCTGAGACCAGGAGTTCGAGACCAGCCTGGTAAATATGGCAAAACTCTGTCTCTGCTAAAAACATAAAAAATTAGCCAGGCACCAGGTGGCAGGTGCCTGTAATCCCAGCTACTCCAGAGGCTAAGGCAGGAGAATTACTAGAACCCAGGAGGCAGAGGCTGCAGTGAACTGAGATTGTGCCACTGCACTCCAACCTGGGTGACAGAGCAAGACTCCCGTCTCAAAAAAAAAAGAAAAGAAAGAAAAGTACTACAAGACACCAGCAACCTGCTGACAAACCCACCCCTGGGACAGTCGATATACAGACTGGGATTGACCTGTCCCCTGGTACCTACTCTGCATTTCGATGAACTGCAAGTCTGAGCCATTCTGCAGTCCTGCCAGGTCACCCACTGTGCCATCATTCCTGGAGCATTTCTGTCGTTCCTCCTCTAATTGAAGCTTCAGTTTTCTAATCTGAAATGAAAATAAAGGTTCATCAGCAAGATCCAGTCTCTCAAATGAAGCCGATGCTTATTCTGTGGTCACATCATAGAACAAAGCAGACCCTTATATCAGCCACATTCATTCAAAACCTATTTTCTTGAGTGCCTAATAGGAGACACCCATTGTCCTAGGTGCTGAAGATAAGCTATGAACAAACATTGAAAAGAGCGAGCCCCAGGACCAGGTGTCCCAGTAAAAAATAGCCATATTTTAAATTTGTGTCTGCTTTATGGAACAGTACATCTTTGGGGTATTTTTTGTTACTTTTGTTTAAAATGGAAAATTCCAGCCAGGCACAGTGGCATGTACCTATATATCCGGCTACTTGGGAGGCTGAGGCATGAGGATCACATGAGCCCAGGAGTTCGAGAACAACCTGGGAAACATAGTAAGACCTCATCTCTAAAAAAATAAAACTATAAACAGTTAATTGATAGGGTATATTCAAGGGATTATTTCTTAAAATGGAAGATTCCATGAGCAGTTTTTTGTTGTTTACTTTTAGACATAGGTTAAATTTTCTGTATATAAAAATAATTGGGGCCAGGTGTGGTGGCTCACGCCTGTAATCCCAGCACTTCGGGAAGCCAAGGTGGGCGGATCACGAGGTCAAGAGTTCGAGACCATCCTGGCCAACATGGTGAAACCCCATCTCTACTAAAAATACAAAAATTAGCTGGGCATAGTGGTTCATGCCTTTAGTCCCAGCTACTCGGGAGGCTGAGGCAGGAGAATCACTTGAACCCGGGAGGTGGAGGTTGCAGTGAGCAGAGATCACATCACTGCACTCCAGCTTGGTGACACAGTGAGACTCTGTCAATAATAATAATAAGAAGAAGATATATAGAGATGACTCCCCAGCGGTCCTTAACTCCATCAACAGGGGTCAAAGGGAAGCCTCTGCACTAAGATTAAGTTTGCCACTCCCCAATGGGAAAAGGGTAAGCTCTATATTGGGACTAACTCTATACTTCCCAGACACCTCTGCCCTTTCAACACACAGGATCACCGTCATTAGCTGCCTTGAGAGAACCAGGACTGATCTCATTGTCTCCATCATTCCTATTTATGTGCATCTCGCAAAGGGTCATATTCTTCCTCTGCACTCTTCCTCACAAGGGTCTGTAGGACCACTAACCTTCATCTCCTAACCTTTCCCAATGCCTGAAACTTCTCCACTGTGCCCTCTAGAATTAACAGTCCATCATCAGCAAATGCCCTCTGTCTTTTCTCTGAGCAGATGAGAACCCTCTCCCTTAAGAATCCTGCTGCTTCTGCAGCTCTCTCAAACACTGTTTTGTTTTGTTTGTTTGAGACTCTCGCTCTGTGGCCCAGACTGGAGTGCAGTGGTGTGATCTCAGCTCACTGCAACCTCCGCCTCCTGGGTTCAAGCGATTCTCCTGCCTCAGCCTCCCAAGTAGCTGGGATTCCAGGTGCATGCCACCACACCTGACTAATTTTTGTTATTTTTAGTAGATGGGGTTTCGTCATGTTGGCCAGGCTGGTCTTGAACTCCTGACCTCAAGTCATCCGCCCACCTCGGCCTCCCCAAGTGCTGGGATTACAGACATGAGCCACCATGCCCGGCCCTTTTTTTTGGTACTTCCACAGCCTCCTACTACTGAACCTAGAGATGGAATAGGTGTCCTCTTGCTTTCCTTGCTGGTATTTTCCCTACATCTTCCCTAAAAGTCCCAGGTCTTAATCTCATCTCTTCAAATTATATACACTAACTACTTATCATTGCCAAAATCCCATTCCTTCATCACCATTTATTAAATGGCTCCCAACTTGCACTCCCTCTAGACTATTCCTGTCTTAATTTTTGGCAATTTCAATGTATATCTAAGTAGAGGATCTCCCTGACAAATGATCTCTCAATTTCTGGTACACCTCCTCATATGGTGAAATGTATTCCCCAGTGCTGAAGGTGGGGCCTGGTAGGAGGTATCTGGGTCATGGGGCAGATCCCTCATGAATGGCTTTGCACCGTTCCCTTGGTGATGAGTGAGTTCTCGCTCTGGTAGTTCACACAAGATCTGGTTGTTTTAAGTGTGTACATCACCTCCCCACTCACTCACTCTGGCTTCCGCTCTTGACATATGACATGCCTGCTCCCCATTCACCTTCTGCCGTGATTAGAAGTTTCCTGAGGCCGACTGGGCACGGTGGCTCATGCCTGTAATCCCAGCACTTTGGGAGGCCGAGGTGGGTGGATCACCTAAGGTCAGGAGTTCAAGACCAGCCTGGCCGGAGGCCTCAGGAAAATGAGCTCAGAAGCTGAGCAGATGCTGACACCATGCTTCCTGTACAGCTTGCAGAACTACAGCCAATTAAACCTCTTTTCTTTTACTTTTTTTTTTTTTAAGACAAAGTCTCACTCTGCCACCCAAGGCTGGAATGCAGCGGTGCAATTTTGGCTCACTGCAGCCTCCACCTCCCTTCTGCCTCAGCCTCCCAGGTAGCTGGGACTACAGGCACCCACCACCATACCCGGCTAATGTTTTTTTTTGTATATTTTTAGTAGAGTTGGGGTTTCACCATGTTGGCCAGGCTGGTCTCGACTCCTGACCTCAACCACCTGCCTCAGCCTCCAAAAGTGCTGGGATTACAGGCATGAGCTGCCACACCCAGTCAAACCTCTTTTCTTTATAAATTACCCAGCCTCAGGTATTCCTTTATAGCCAAGCAAAAAATGGACTAACCCACCTCCCTTCCAAGGATCTTGCCATCTATCCCTTCTTGCCCTCAGCTACTCACTCCCACAATCATATACTAGATCTTATCACTAGACAATTGTAATCCCTATACAATTTAGTTCCATGTATCCTCTCTCTAACCACCATTCCTCATCTTTCTAGGTCTTTCTCTGTAGACTCAAATTCCAACAACCCTTCAACCACACTAGTACCACTAATCTACAGATTACATCTTCTTTCTACTGTACCTTGATGTGTTCCTGAATATCTCCCGAATCCTCTTCATCCAGTTTAATGTCAAGGTCTATCATTATAATAATTTTCTTTCTTACTCCCTCACCTCTCCTGCCCCATTAATACTTTCTTGGTAAAATCTAGCTCTCTACTCACTCCATGCCTGCCCCTATGCAGCTGTAAGTAGCCAGAGAAACACATAAACGCATTCACGCAAACCTTCTAACATATCATATAATACTGTTTATTGTCTGATGTCTTCCTACTAGAATGTCCCTCAGGCAGGAATTTTTTTCTAAACTAACTTATTCACTGAAATATCCCAGTGCCTAGAATAGTGCATGTTAAATAGTAGAATCTCACTCAACATTTGTTGAATGACTGAATAGGACTTCCAAAATAGAGAACACAGAATATGGGAGGGGAAAAAAATCAGTAACAAAATCATTCAAGAAATCTTCCCAGAACTAAAGAATGGGAGCTCCTAGAATTGACAGGGGCCCAGCATCACACATGAAAACTTCAAATCACATTGCTATCTTCAAATTACACCAGAACACTAGAGAGAAAGAGAATAGGATACAACCTTCTACAAAGAGGAGAAAAATAAATCACAAACCAGAAAAGATCAGAACTCAAAATGTTCATGAAAACTCAACAGTCATACTTGAAGTCACAGCACAATGAAGAAATGTCTTTTTAAAAAATCTTACGGAGAACAATGGCAACTCAGGATTCTCTACCTAGCCAAACTATTTTAATCAAGTAAGAGGGTAGAATGAAGACATCTTCAGGCCTGCAAGGTCATGAAAAATTAACAATCCACAAACCCTCTTCTCAGGAAGCTACTGGAAGATGTACCAAAACTAGAAAATAAATAAGGAGAAAGACATGAGATACCGGAAAAAGGGAACCCAACCTAAATCACATGCAAAGAAAATCCCCAGATGCCAATGAAGGGTGACCACATCTATGTACCAAGAGAGCAAGCCATTAGTTTAGAAAGGGACAAGTCAGATGCACCAAGATTCGACAAACTGGAACTGAAAGAATGCCAGATGCATCTGAAAATACTGAGTGGGTTTAATCTACTGTTGGAGAGTCTGTGGTTAAATTGATGATAGAAAACCAAGCAAATACAAAGAAAAACCATAACGTTAACTTAGAGGAAACTAATAGTTCCAAGGGAGATGATCCTAGAATGCAACCTGGCTCCACTGTGAGTAGAGTTTAGAGGGTCCTAATGACACAAGCAGACTGGAATTACACCGTTCCTTTATTAGGAGGATTTGGGAGTGGAAAATATGTGTGTGTGTGGCAGGGACAAAGGATGAAAAACAGCTAAACCCTCATCTTCCATAAAAGGATGTCAACATAGAATGCCTGAAGCAGAACAATCAAGACGCAACGTAAGTATGTTACACAGAGATACAAGGACAGTACACAAGAATCAGCTAAAAGCATTTAACAGAAATGGTCAGGGGTGAGGACAGAGGAGCCAGGCCAGGGGATTGCTGTGTTCATAACAAACTTTGTAGAAAACCATATGACTCCTTAAACTATGTGTCCTTAAAAAAATATTTTAAGAACAGAAAATAACAAAGAGGTAAAATATGAATTATCTATCCTTCAAATCTCACTTGAGTACTGATGTTTGAAATAAGCATATTTCTTTTTAATGAACATTTCAATTAGCTAGTATTTTACCATGTAACTTCGTTAAAATTATTTTACACTCCATTAAGAATGCCTTTACCTGTGACAGTAGTTCTTCCTTCTCTCCAGCAAGTTTTCGTAGCCTTACATCTAAAACAAATGAAAAAGATCATAAACTAAATATGTGATGATGTAGTATATAAACAATTAAAAAATTTTCAAACTCATAAACAGCTAATATTATCTGATAAATTACATTACTTACAGCTCTGAATATCTAAAGAAATAAAGGTGTTAATAGCATTACGGAAAAGTTCTTAACTCTCTAAAACGTATTTCCACACAACTGATACTTATCAGGGCACCAAATGCAACATTTGTTCCCCACAGCAGTGTTTGCCACTTAAAGACAAACTGAAGTACAAAGAAGGTCATTTCCTTGTTTCAAGCTTTCACTAGTAGACAACTCAAATGTCAAGTGTGCTCCCAAAGGCTGAGCCCTTAGCAGGAGAGATTCAAATATTTGAAAGAAGATGGGGTAAGAGCAGGACTGGGCAAAGGAAGCTGGAGGAGAGAAAAGAGAGGAGCACAATGCTGGAAGAAGCGAAGTCCCCAAAAGCTAGTAGGGAGGGAAGGGGACCCACTCCAAGATGTCGGCAGCTGGGCCAGGTGCGGTGGTTCACGCCTGTAATCCCAGCACTTTGGGAGGCCTGGTTGGGTGGATCACTTGAGATGAGTTTGAGACCAGCCTGGCCAAAATCGTGAAACCACGTCTCCACTAAAAAAATACAAAAATTAACCGGGCATGGTGGCAGGCACCTGTAATCCCAGCTACTCAGGAAGCCATCTGAACCTGGGAGATAAGAGGTTGCGCGTTGCAGTGAGCTGAGATCGCGCCACTGCAATCCTGCCAAGCGACCAAGTGAGACTCTGCCTCAAAAAAAAAAAAAAAAAAAAAAAAAATGTGGGCATCCATGGGTGGATCTGCGGCTTGGTAGCAGCATCAGGGTTCACTCCTGGCCTATGGAGATTTGACTCTTCCCAAGCCTGCATTAAAATAGGCCCCTTCAGCTGAGGAGACACCATTGTTCACTTAAAAGAGCAGCTGACACCTGACTGACCACTACCCTCTGTAAATGATGAGGGTCACAGCCAAATACAGATTTTGGTTTCTTCTGCACCTTTCAAGCAGGTCTGCCTGCTGGGACCTGCAGACGAGGGAAACAACAGCAGGGAAACACCCTGGGCTGCCTATAGCCAGACTCTCGTTCCATTCTCCAGATCTCTCTTGCTCACCCAGCATCTTGCTTTAGTCAAAGTGCCTTACAATCACATTTCTGGAATGCTCCACATTAGAGAATGTGCTTACTAACTTTTAAAATGTTTTTCAGTTTGCTTTACACTTATATCTCTCACTCCTCTAAGAAGCTTACACATATATGAAAACAAGATGAAAAATGAAAAAAGATTGTTTTTTAAAAAATAAAAGTGAGCTAATGATACAGTATCTATCTGTGCCATTTTTCTTCCTCTAGAGTAGATTTCTTAGTGGGGTCAATAGATGGGTGACTTTGGTTTCTTGGAGAGAGGTGTCAGCAACTTTGTTTTTTCCTGGAGAGAGGTGTCAGATTCTCAAAGGGTTAAATTTAAGAGGTTTAGACTTTAAGAGTCTGGGAAGCCCTGCTCTGGAAGTCATACTTCTCTCATATCTGTCTTTTTGGTCATCTGTTTCTTGGCTTAAGAAATGTGGTAGAAAAGAGGTACAGAACCCTGGGGTAAGTAGTGGAACATAAAACCAGATGTTCCAAGGATGAGAAACTTATAGCACACATGAGAAGTCTCCTGCTAGCCTACTGCTCCCCTAGCACAGGTATACTAGACTATCTCTTTGCAGAAAAGTTTGTAGTTAAGTAAAAAACAATGCGTATAGGCCCATAGTACTTCCATCCACGGGCCTTACAGTTACACTTACTGCCTTACAATGACACAGATGCTGGTTTCCCAAGGCCAAGGATGTCCGAAGAAAATGGGCCAATGTGCCCAGATTCTTCTGGTTAAGTGTCTACTTGAGTCTCAGACAGCCCTTATGCTGTTTTTGTTTTCCAAGCTGGGATATGAAAAAGCAGAAAACCCAATAGGGTAACATTAATCCAAGTCAAGATAGCAACCAGTATCTTACCTAATGGCCCTTCTCCTGCTGACTCCAAGACCTGAGCAGCTTCCTGAGACACAACAGTGATGGCTCCAGCCACTGGTTCATGACTGACATCACCATTGGGAGTGCCATCGGGGATTATAACTAAGCCATGTTTCTGCAAGGGGGGAAAACCCATCATCACAAAAGGCCCATATGGAAACAGTAAGCTCTGTGAGGTAACTCTGCAACAATACATGTTTGCTACAGGTAAAATCTGGTTAGAATCAGTTACATGGAATATAGCTCTGTGGAAGAAATAGCTTAAACCTACCAAATCTGGATTAGGGAATAAACATTGTAGTTTGTATTTGGGCTAGGAAAGATGGCAGGATGAAAAGAAGGAAGACAGCGAGTAAAGCAGTGAGGGACCTGAACTCCAGGCTAATGCTAACATACCTCTCCCGTCTTCACTGTCTCCTGCAGGTCAGCCAGCTCCTCTCTGAGCATATCTCGCTCATTCCTAAGGCAGGCAATGTATTCTTTCTGTTTCTCTAGGGCCTGGTTTTAGGTAAGGTAGCAAGGGAAACAATGGCAGAGAAAAAGAGCAGGTGAAAGGTAGCAGAGAAGTACCTAATTCAAATAAGCAAAGATAAAAGCATAAAAAGCAAGGAAGCAGTCAAAAGATTGGAAACAAGCAGTCAGATATGGGAGGAAATACAGAGTCACATGGATATACATCTCCAGAAGAGAGTTCTCATAGAAACTGGTTCTCATGCATCAATTTGGCAAAATATGTTTAATCACATCAAGCAGGGAAATAAATCTTTCTTTTCTAGTCAATGAAAAAAAATAAAACAGGAAAAGGAAGATGAAGAGAGCAGCCAGAGTAAAACAAAGCTTTCCTTACTGACTGCCTCAGTACATTTTTATTTGGTGAACAAAAAGAACCCCACATTTCATATTTAACTAAACTAGTTTATTCAATAATACAGTTGAGTTTTCAAAAAAAAAAAATAGTTCTGGAATAAAAATAACTATTATATGTAAGATATTTTAATTAAATATTGGCTGTATATTGTTCTCCAAGTAGTGTGGCAAAATACTCAAATACCACTTAATTCAAAATAGTTAACCTACAAAAGAATTCAAAGATCAACTTCTGACCATTTAATTAAATATAACTGAGACTCATTGGCTTTCTGTTATATTCCCAAAATGTGAAAAAACAAAACACTGACAAAATAAATACAGCCAAGCTATGGAGAGTTACAGAATATGGATTTCAGAATCAGGCTTTTGGGTCCTGGCACATACCCATCCTATGCCTCAGTTTCCTTACCTGAAAAACAGAAGGGATAATAGCACCCATCCCAAGGGCAGAGGCATAAATCAAGGTAAAGCATTGCCTGTAATGCCTAGATAGCAGGGACAGTTCAGGAGAAGCAGGCTGGTGATTTCATTTGTAAATTCCCTGCCATTCCCTTAATCTCACAACTGTCAGCTAAGGACAATGCAGAAGCAGGTACATACTTTGGTTATCGATTAAAAATAAAATCTACTATGAAAAAATAAAATCTATTGTAAAAGAAAATAACCCAGAATTAAAAATACACCCAAAGTAAGTAGTCTATGCAGGAATCTGATAACTGGCCTATTTGAAAAAGCCTTTCCCCACATATTTTTGTTCATATATTTAATGTCTTCTGTCAGCATTCCCATTAATCCAAGAAGTTAAACTACAACAGGTAACTTTCCTCTCAGTTCACTGGCTTTGGAAGTGGGACAGAGAACTGCTGAGAAATTGATAGCTGAATAGCTGGGCAATTTAAAAAATCATTATAATCCTATTTTGCAACCAAATAGGGATCAAGTAAATAAGGGATGATAGCAACTACCATTTGTATAGCACAAATTATATGGCAGGCACTATTTTATATAATTTCTCTCTTATACGTTATTTTGTATTTGAAACCTCTACATATCCTGTGGGGTACCTGTATTATCCCCATTTAACAGATCAGAAAATTGAGGCTCAGAGTGGCTATATTTTTTGCTCAAAGTCACATTAAGTGGCAAAATCAGAAAATGAATCTGGTTGTTTTTGTTTCCAAAGCCCTTAAATAGTTTTTTAAATATCACAGCCCTGTGGAGGATACATTATATTCCCTTATTGTTAGCCCAGATGATGCTAGGAAAGGAGCCCATAGGGCAAATCCTACTCTTTACTTATCCAAACTGCCATGTCAATATCTGACTTCTTTTCAACAATTTACAGTCATACTATATGATGTGTCTCAAGTCTGCCTGTGAATTAACAATGTGGGTTTAGCACCATCCAGCTAGTATTAACACTCCATTACATTAATCATTAGTAATAAATGAAACATTGGGAAAACAAAGCACAACAATACTTTCCCATGTGTTGAGTATCACTTTAGTCTTTATGGGTTAGGTATTTTTGGTTACTGGTATCTGCATGCATAGTTATGTCATGTATCACCACATATAAGTGGGTAAATGATCACTGTCACACATGCTCTATATAAACAACACCACTGAATATAAAAGACCTCTGAGGAACAGGCCAATTTGAAACTAGGAATTCTAGCAAATGATATACATGACATCTGCTCCTCTTCCACATCTTATTGCACTGGGTTTTATTTTTACCTTCGGACTTTTTAATTTCCTCTTCCCATAATTATAGATGGGAAAATAAAATACATCCTGTAAATTCACCCATTTCACCACAAAGTTTGAAGACTACTAAAATACCTTATAATTGGATCAAATGTATTCACGCTGGATCTAAAATCCTCCATATTACCTGACCATATAACCACTACCCTTGCATTTGTGTACAACAATAGCTCCTAGAGTAGATTTTTTTTAGGGTAAAAAGTACATGCTTGTAGAGTTCAAAAAAATTCTTTATCCCTGACCTAACCTCAAATCCTACCATCCAGAAGCCAAAAGGATGTGTATAATGGGCTGAACTTTTGGGCAAAGGGTTAATTCTCCACATAATTGTACTGGGGAACAAATATCTTTGGTCAGAATGGAAGTGAGTTTATGCTGGGCTATAGAGATATGCAAGTTCTTTGTATACGCCTATTCTATACATGGGCTCCTGGTGTTTAGAACCGCAGTGGAGCTAGAGGCAAGACCACTAATGAACTGAACTTTCACCTGGGAATAATGGACATATTTCTTCATTAAGTTACTAAATGTAAATCTTAAAAATGAAGCTAGAGACAAGTAGTTACTGTCCATACTGAAAATGTGTCTTTTAAAAGTCAAGGGAGGACCACTGCCCCTATATTATGATAACAAATATTGGCAAGGACATGGAGAAATTGGAACCCTTGTTCACTAGTGGTGGGAATGTAAAATGGGACACCTGCTACAGAACACAGTATAGCTGTTACTCAAAAAAATTAAACACAGAATTACTATAAGATCCAGCAATTCTACTTCTGGGTACATACCGAAAACAACTGAAGGCAGAGTCTTGAAGAGTTATTTGAATACCCATGTTCACAGCAGCATTATTCACAATGGCCAAAAGGTAGATGTGTCGATATATCAACAGAAGAATGTGGTATATACATACAATGGAATATGATTCAGCCTTAAAAGGGATGGACATTCTGACATATGCTGCAACATGAGCCTTGAGGGCATTATGCCAAGTGAAATAAATCAGATACTGTATGATTCCACTTACATGAAGTACCTAGAGTAGTCAAATTCACAGAGACAGAAGGTGGAATGGTGGTTGCCAGGGGTTTGGGAGAAGGGACTGAATGGGGAGTTGTTTAATGGGTACAGATTTCAGCTGTGGAAGATAAAAAAGTTCTGATGGTGGTGACAGTAGCACAACAACATGAATGTACTAAATGCCACTGAACTGTACACTTAAAAATAGTTAAAATGGTAAATTTTATGTTATTTGTATTTTAGCACAATTTTTCAAATTAAAAAAAAAAAGAGTCTACTAGTGATTCAACAATTTGGACTAATCTTGAGGGACTTATACAGACTGAAAAAGGGTAATTCCAAAAGGTTAATATATACTATATAATTCCATTTTTATAACATTCTTAAAATAGCAAAACTACACAAATGAAGAAAAGATTAGTGGTTCTCAGGGTTTGGGAGGGGAAGGGGAGATAAAGGCTATGACTATAAAAAGGCAAGAGGAGGAGAAATCCCTTATAGTGATAGAAATGTTCTGTATCTTCACTGTATCAAGGTCAATACCCTGGTTGTGATATTGTACTATAGTTCTGTAAGATGTTACATTTGGGGAAGATTGAGCAAAGAATATATAGGATCTCTCTGTTAAATTTCTTCTCTTTTCTTCTTTTTTTTTTTTTGAGACAGGGTTTTGGTCTGTTGCCTAGGCTGGAGTGCAGTGACACAATCTCAGCTCACTGCAACCTCTGCCTCTCGGGTTCAAGTGATTCTTATGCCTCAGCCTCCCAAGTAGCTGGGATTACAGGTGTGTGCCACCATGCCTAGCTAATTTTTGTATTTTTAGTAGAGACAGGGTTTCACCATGTTGGTCAGGCTTGTCTCGAACTCTTGACCTCAAGGGATCCACCCTCTTTGGCTTCCCAAAGTGCTGGGATTAAAGGCATGAGCTACCATGCCCAGCCCTGTTTAATTTCATACGACTGCATGTAATTCTAAAATTCTGGCCGGGCACAGTGGCTCATGCCTGTAATACCACCACTTTGGAAGGCCGAGATGGGCCGATCACTTGAGGTCAGGAGTTCCAGACCAGCCTGGCCAACATGGTGAAACCCCATCTCTACTAAAAATACAAAAATTAGCCGGGCGTGGTAGTGCACACCTGTAGTACCAGCTACTCAGGAGGCTGAGGCAGAACTGCTTGAACCCAGGAGGTTGCAGTGAGCTGAGATTGCGCCACTATACTCCAGCCTGGGGGACAGAGAGAGATTCCATCTCAAAAAAGGGATACTAAAATAAAATAAAATATTCTCCAAATAAAAGCCAAATAATTTATATTTTAAACTGAGACATCTGAGGGGTTTCTATGGCTGGTCCAAGATTATCATTTGAAAATACTAAGGCACTCATACAAGCTAGAAATCCTGGGCCTACAGATCTGTGTTAAAGAAAATTATGTAAAGTCCTAAAAGAAACCCATTCTAGATAGTGACCAGATTTTAACTAAAATTTTAAAATTACCTACTTTGTCCCACATGTTTTTTTACATCTTATGTTGTATCTCCCAAGCAAAAATTTAAATCAAATCAATGGTTCAACAATTAAATTTCACTTTCCAACTTCAAATTTCAATTTTAAAATCATAATTTCAAAACACCTAACAGATGTTTTGAAACATATATTGATTTATCCCCCAGAAGGCTTTTCTAGGTTTAGATGGAATTTTTAATAATCAGCAACTTGAATGTCAGATAATTATCTATAAAGTAGCTTTTGTTCTTTAAATTTTTGGTCTACAAACTTTTTTTTTTAAAGAAAGGGTATCACTCTATTGCTTAGGCTGGAGTGCAGTGGCACGATCATAGTTCACTGCAGCCTCCATCTTGTGGGCTCCAGTGATCCTCCCACCTCAGCCTCCTAAGTAGTTGGGGCAGGTGCATGCTCTGCAAATTTTAAAATTCTTTTGGAGAGACAGGGTGGGTCTCACTATGTTGCTCAAGCTGGTCTCAAGCTCCTGACCTCAAGCAATCCTCTAGCCTCAAGCGATCCTCGAGCCTTGGCCTCCCAAAGTGCTAGGATTACAGGCATGAGCCTACAAACTCTTAAGAGGTAATGTAATCTTCCCATGTGTATATTAATGAGAGAGGTCCTTGAAGTGATGAAAAAGACTGGATCCTGCTGACCACCGGCTGGGCTTCAGAATGTTCCTAACAATGTTCTGAGGGTATGATCCAGAGGGTTTCATATCCAGGCCTGTCTCTCAGAGATGGTCTCAGGGATCTTTAACAACTACTCCCTATCCCCTCTAACCTTAAGCAGAACAAGACTTTTCTTACATGTTCTATTTCCTCTGCCCTTCCCTGACAAGGTAAGCCTCTGGCAACTATGGCTAAGTGGTTCCCCTACTGCAGAACAGAGAGCTCAGCCAGGTGATGGGACTGCCAATCAAAGGCCACATGAGATGAACTGGAGGGAATTTTCTCCAGTTTTTGGTGTACATGGAATCCACCTGCAGAGCTTAGCAAAATAGCAATGAAGACATTTCATTTATCTGGGCCCTACTTGGGGGAGTTCTGTGGTTATAGTTAGAGACAGCCACCCTAGTAAGACTTACTTTCCTATCTGTTTCTGTAATTGAATTGATTTTAATCTCTTCCTATTTTATTCACCAAGGATTTATAGGATACTAATAACTTTCTTCCCACCACTACTCTCCTCTTATCCAAATTCCTGTAATGTAAGGATATCGAGTTAACCACAGAGTTTGAACTGAATGCCTGTGGCTGTTTCTGGGTAAGAATCCCAAGGGAGGCCAGTTGTGGTGGCTCACACCTGTAATCCTAGCACTTTGGGAGGCCAAGGTGTGTGGATTACCTGAGGTCAGGAGTTAGAGACCAGCCTGGCTAACACGGTGAAACCCCGTCTCTCATAAAAATACAAAAAATCAGCTGGGCATGGTGGTGTGTGCCTGTAATCCCAGCTACTAGGGAGGCTGAGGCAGGAGAATCACTTGAACCCAGGAGGCAGAGGTTGTAGTGAGCCGAGATCATGCCACTGCACTCCAGCTTGGGCAACAAAATGAGACTCCATCTCAAAAAAACAAAAAAAAGAATCCTAAGGGAATACAGAGAAACTTGTTGGCTGAAAAGAAGAGTTCTTTCCAGGCACGACATCAGGTTTTCCTATGGAAGTCTCTTTCTATCTTCTACTTACTCATTTTTCATACTGTGTAAATGCTCAAGAATAATCAAAAGGACAGGTTTTTTCAATCTCTAGGTTAAATTCTATTGTAGTCCTCATCAATGAGCTTCTAACCAAAGCCCAATTTCATCTCATACCCCAATTTTTTTATCTTTCCAAAGAAGTGTCTCCTGGAGGTCAAACACCTCTTTTGTCATGGTGTCTATTTTCTGCTGCATGCGCTGCTTCTCCTGCAGAGGAAGAGGGGAAGAGAAGTAATAAAAGAGCAGAAAGAAAAGGGAGAAGAGGTTTGAGGGAGGAAACAAAAATAAAGCCGATAAAGAAACTTAACCAAAAGGGAAAGTCTGTGATGAACAGGAAAAGCAAAATTGGTTTGCCAAAAGAAAAGATGACATTCACAGGCTTGGCCACAAGATTCTCACTGGCTTGTCCCTACAAAAGTAAGCAAAGGAACCAGGAATAACTGTTCTAACCACAGCTATGTGGCAGCAAGCCAGCTAGAATTTCTGTGTACATATAGCTCCGTATGTATATTCTTTCTTTGATAACTGCAAGAACTTACATTCCTAGAGAGGGAAATTTAGATTTGCTTATGAACAAATGATCTTTTATCTCAGAGAACAAGCAGTTTTGAATTTTATTTTTTAAGCAGAACTGATCATTTTGAATTTCTGTTAGCAGAATCTATGACAGCAAGAACACCATGAATTTTGTATTATTTTAAAATTATTTATATTATTTTGAAACATTTAAACTTAGCATTTAACAATCCTTAAATGACCTTTTTAATTGTCAGTGGTGCTTAACTGGTTTTCTTCTTATGCATTATTCGTAAATTATTATCTCCTCCTTCCCCTACTCATACATTAGGTACCTTACCATGGAACTTTCAATTCCAAAGACCAAAAAACATTATTTGTAATATTTAAAGATTTTCAGCATAACCATAGATACTGACATCTAAAAGATGTTCATTCTAGATGTAAAAAACATCTAAAATTACTATAGTTTTCAAAGTTTGTATACCTAGCACCCTAAGCTTTTAAAGAAGTCACAGTGACAAACTATAGAAATCAAGCATTATATTCTTCTTAAATGCCATTACAATGAAAAACTAGAACTTTACCAATCCTAACTTAAGCTACTGAATTTGAGAAGCAGCCCCCAAAGCAGGTTTATTATTTTATGTGGTTGGCATTTTGGCACAGAAAGACAAAAGAACAAAAAAGAAAAGAATTTCACAGTATTTTAAAATACCAGCAGGATACAGATTCTGGAAAATATGCTTCCTACCTTATATGGAGAAAAACTAAGAAAATTAACCTCATATGTAATCTGATAGATCCACAAGGTTATCTGTATCTGCACTTGAAATCCACAAATTCTGGGTATGTTCAATTATTCTTAATAATGACAAAAATTAACACCAGTCTTCAAATTTAAAAAGTCATTTCTTTTTCTCTATTAAATGGTTTTTAAAAATCATTTGTAGAGAGAGATATTAAGAGGTAGGTCTGAGGGGAAAGAGGGAGAGAAAAAGAAAGGCTAAGGTCTGAGTAGCCAGGAATGTGGACAAGTGTGGTACGTGAGATCTCTCTCCTGGGATCGTTAACATCTATGCTTCCTGACATCTCTGGCATGTCAACACTAACTTAACATTAGATGCCTTTGATAGCCACACCTAGATAGTGGGCAGGATCCCCCTTCAAACTTATTTCTATATTTATCTAAAAACATCGTCTCAAGAGGGAAAACCACATTTAAAGAAAAAAGATGGATGCAATGTAGTAGGCCTGCAAGGATGACTAATGTTTTCAAAGAGTTCTTGGTAGACTATGCTTCATTCCATTCCTAAGACGCTGCCAACAATGTGGCAGAGTCCCTTCGCTTGCAGAAACCTGAACCTTCAGACTAGCTATTCTTTACCTTTTTGTATAGAAAGTATCTTGACATTTCTTCTTTTTCATTTAGCCACCTGAGAAATGTATTTACCTGAGTGAAAATCAAACTTATTCCCCGAGAATCATGTCCCAAAAGATGGCATTCACTAATTCCAAAGAATAATGTTATTCTATAATTTTTCCTTTTGCCCATTTCCTAAGATATCTTTAGGAAACTGTATTTAGCAATAAAAGACACAAAAATTTCTGCTACCAAAGTGGGGTAATGTTTATAGGATTTATAGTATTAATTTTTAAGCATGATCTGGTTTATGTCTGAAAACTTTTAGCGTACAGTCAAATATAAAGAGACAAGTAAACTCTGATGCATCTTAACTTTCCTTCCCTCCCAACACACACATCTTCATCCCATTCAACTCATTTTTTTCAAAATTAAGTATTCCCACAGTTCATGTACGTACCTCAATAAGCTCATCTCTTTGCCGAAGGCCTTCTTTAAGTTCTTCCATCTTATGCTGCAGCACACTACACATATGTTTCTGCCTTTCTAACTCCTGTTATTAAACAAATAATATCATTTACACAGGTCATGGCACACAAGAAATTTGAACATATACAATACAACACAGAGGTTAAGAATGATCTCCAGAAACATGTCCAAACTCCTGATTCATAGTAACTTAGAAAAATTGTGTCTTCTATAGAAAGGTTAAGAAAATTTTAAAATTTCATCTTGTATAATTATTTATCTGGAAAACTTGAACTAATCAATGGCAAAATTATTAAAAACAAAAGATAATTTAGTCAAGTAATAGGTTATAAAATGAACACATACAATTCAATGACATTCATATACAAATAAAATTCAAAGAAGGAATAATAAATACAATATCAAAATAAAATCAACATTAAATAAAATACATACATGTAAACTTATAAAATATATCCAAAACCTATATGAGGAAAATTATATAAAACATTCCCAAAAGACAAAGAAGTAGGATTGAATAAATGGAAAGGCATACCGTCTTCTTGGATTAAAAGTCTCACAACATTATAAAAATGCCAGTTCTCCCTAATCTACACATTTAATGCAGTACAAAGAAAAATACCATCAGCTTTTTCTTTTCTCACCAGAGCAAGGCAAGTTGATTTGAAAGAAAAACACAAGAAAAAGTAGCCAGAAAAATACATACTGAAAAAGAAGAAAGCCGGCCCTACTAGGTATTAAAACATATTATAAAGTTTCTATAATTAAAACAACGTTGTTATGGTACATGAATATAGACCAAGGGAGCAGAATAGAAAATTCAGGAAAACACTTATTTACATATACAAATATATTTAAAAACCACAAAAATAAGAGCATCTCAAATCAATGAGAAGGAAAGACTTTTAAATTAGCAATGGTGGGATAACTGGATATTCATTTGGAAAAAGATAAAATTGGAACTATACCCCATACCACACACCAGGACAAATTCCAAATCAATCAGAGGTTTACATAAGGAAAGAAAGCCAGGGAGTGAATGGGGGAAGAGGGAAGGGAAGGGAGAACAAACTGTACAGGAATAAAAGAAAAGATAAGTAACCAAGGAAAGGGGCAATCTTTACTGAAAAAATGACTCAAAACTCCACAAGCAATGAGGTAAAGGTACAATAAATTAGACTATATAAAAATCAAAATTTTAGGCTGGGCATGGTGGCTCATGCCTGTAATCCCAGCACTCTGGGAAGCTGAAACAAGTGGATCCCTTGAGCCCAAGAATTCAAGACCAGCCTGGGCAACATGGCAAAACTCCATCTCTATAAAAAAAAATTCAAAAATTAGCCAGGGTTGGTGGTGTGTGCCTATAGTCTCAGGTATTCTAGAGGCTGAGGTGGGAGGACCACCTGAGCCTAGGGAGGTCAAGGTTATAGTGAGCCATGATGGTGCCATTGCACTCCAGCCTGATGACGGAGTGAGACTCTGTCTCCAAAAAATAAATACATAAATAAACAAAACCTTTGAATGGCAGAGAATCTCTAGGCTCATGCCTCTAATCCCGGCACTTTGGGAGGCCGAGGTGGGCAGATCACCTGAGGTCAGGAATTCGAGACCAGCCTCACCAACATGGAGAAACCCCGTCTCTACTAAAAATACAAAATTAGCTGGGCGTGGTGGTGCACGCCTGTAATCCCAGCTACTCAGGAGGCTGAGGCAGGAGAATCGCTTGAACCCAGGAGGCGGAGATTGCAGTGAGCCAAGATTGCGCCATTGTACTCCAGCCTGGGCAACAAGAGCAAAACTCCGTCTTAAAAAGAAAAAACTAGAAAGAAAAAAAGCACTAACTGCATAGAATAACAAGCTACGGAAATGGACAGTTTATAGAAAAAGAAATAGAAATAGCTCTGAATATGAAAAGATACGCATACTAAGAGAAATGGAAACAAACTATTTGTCTCACCAAAACACTAATAAAAGTTCAAAAACTTGACAACATATTCCAGGACAGAACTATGAGGAAAGAAACAGGCCCTCATACATTTTGGTGAGAATGCAAATGGTATAATGCTTACAAAGGAGACCACAACAGTATCTACAAAACTACGTACCTTTTGACCCAGCAATCTCACTCTTCATCATAGATATATTGGCAAAATACAAAAAGACCTATGCAGTATGTCATTTCTACAGGACTATTTTTAACAGCAAAACGTGACAAACTTGAATGTCTATTAATATAGGGAACTGTTGGAATAAAGCATGGTACATCCATACTGCAGAATAATTATGCAGTGGTGAAAAAGAATGAGCAAGATATCTCTATGTGACATTCATAAGGCGATAAAATCTAGATGCAGAACAGCATTTATATTAACTGTATGCTACCATTTTCTAAGGAGAGTGAGAAATACATATATTTGTACATATATTTTGAATGATTATATATATATATATCTTTTTAGATTAAAAATGGCTACCTAATTTATCTTCTTGGATTTAAAAAATGGAAAGATAAACCATTAAATTTTAAAATTCCTTAAAGGAAGGAGAAAATAGAGATAAAGAGACAGAGATAGAAGACTGACTTCTTCAAATATATTTTCTTTGTTAACTTGACTCAAGATCTATGTAACTATTCTAGATAGTTACGAAATTGTGAAACAAAATTAAATTTAGAAAGCAATTCCTAGCGGAAACAATTCAAGTGGCCACTGATATATGAATGGATAAACAAAATGTGGTATATATACAGTGGATTATTCAGCTTGAAAAAAGAAACTCTTGTCACATGCTACAAAATGGATGAGGCTTAGGACATTATGCTAAATGAAGTAAACCAGTCATGAAAAGATAAATTATTATATGATTCTACTTATGAGTTTGGTACATAGAGTAGCCAAATTCAGAGAGACAGAAAGTAGGATGGTAGTTGCCAAGGGCTGGTGGCAGGGAGAAATGGGGAATTGTTTAATGGGTATAGAGTTTTAGTTTTGAAAGATGAAAAATTTCTGGATATCTGATCTACAATAATGTGAATATGCTTCACACTACTGAACTCTACACTTTAAAACAGTTAAGATAATAAATTTATGGTGTTTTGTGATGACAATTAAAATTTTTTAAATAAAAATAATTTTAAAAGTAATTCCTAAATATTGAAAATAAAATGCAGTGAACCTAACTATACATCCAGTTTGTAGCACAGAAAGAAACTATTTCAAGTAACTTCTAAAAACAACAGTTCGGCTATACACTGACTAGTGGCAAAAATAACAGCCAAGCAAAACAAACAAAATAAAAATCTTTTAACTATTTTCAGTAATTAAATTGTTGGTGTTAATGTTGGTATTGCTATTCTAGGCAACTTGGGATAAAGCAAAGAGAACAGAACGTAACATAATTACTATCATCCCTAGAAACTTTGAGAACTAGGAATTGTAGTGTAGGGGAAACAAAAAAAGATACAGATGAAAGACAGAAGAGGTTAAATAAAAACCCTAGAGTCCTGCATATGAACTGGAACTATCAGCATGAACTCATAATATATTTTGTCGTTAAAAACAAATAAAAAACTTCACACACATATTTCCCAAATGTATCCACTGAAAAGACCCATAAACAGTCACCTACTTGGTGGCAATGAGCATCTCTAGCGCACTCATACTAAAACAGAACTAGGGCTCCTTGGACAAATGGCTGATTCCAGGTCTGTGGCAGAAAATGTACAAGATGAGACTGGAACATATTCTGCCAAAAAGCAAAGAAGCTATCCAAAACAATTAGACTCACCAGAAGTACTTGCGAATCAACCTCAAGAGGTTCACATTAGCCAAAGATGGGACAATTTTATCATCAAAAAGAATGAAAGTTGCAATGCAACTGAAGACATCAAATGCTTGAATTTATGACTTCATATTGATATGTCAAGAGAAAAGTAATTGGTCACTGTCAGAAGACAACCAATTCCTTTTTTTTGAAAACTCATAAAGGGAGAAAATATTTGCAAATAATATATCTGATAAAATTCTTATATCTAGAATATATAAACAACCTTACAAGTCAATAATAATAAGGCAAAATCCAACTTTAAAATGGACAAAGGATCTGAATAGACATTTTGCCAAGGAACATATACAAATAGCCAATAAGCCCATGAAAATATGTTCAAAATCATTAGTCACCAGGGAGATGCAAATCAAACCACACCTATTAGGATGGCTAGAATAAAAAGGACAGATAACAAGTGTTGGTGAGGATGTGGGGAAATCAAAACCTGCATACATTGCTGGTGTGAGAATAGAAAATGGTGCAGCCACTTCGGAAAACAGTCTGGCACTGTTCAAATGGTTAAACACAGATTTATCGTTATGAATCAGCAATTCCACTCCCAAGTATATACTTAAGAAAAAGGAAAGCATATGTCCAGACCATGAGCAGTGGCTCATGCCTGTAATTCCAACACTTTGGGAGGCAGAGGCAGGAAGATTGCTTGAGGCCAGGAGTTACCAGCCTGGGCAACATCTCTTAAAAGGCCCTATCTCTTAAAAGAAAAAAGAAAAAGAAAACTTATGTCCAAAAACAACCTGTACACAAATGTTTATGGCAGCATTATTCTTAACAGGAAAAAGTATAAACAACCCAAATGTCAATCAATGCACAAATGGATAAAGAAAATGTAGCATACCCAAAAAATGGAATATTAATAGGCTATAAAAAGGAATTAAGTACCGATACATGGTACAATATCATGCTAAGTGAAAGAAGCCAGTCACAAAAGACCATGTATTATATGATTCCTTTCATATGAGTCTAGAATAGGGAGCTCTATAGATAGAAAGTAGATTAGTGGTTACTTACAACTGAGGGGTTTGGGGGAAAGGAGGATGATACTAAAAAGTAACTGTGATGAAGGTTACACATATATGTGAATATACTAAAAACCACTGGATTGTACATTTTAAATGCATGATTTGTATGTTATTCGAATTATATCTCAATAAAGTTGCTTAAAAATAACATTAAATAGGCTGGGCACAGTGGCTCAGGCCTATAATCCTAGCACTTTGGGAGGCCAAGGTGGGTGGATCACCTGAGGTCAGGAGTTCGGGACTAGCCTGACCAACATAGTGAATCCCCATCTCTACTAAAAATACAAAATTAGCCAGGCGTGCTAGTCCATGCCTGTAATCCTAGCTACGCAGAAGGCTGAGGCAGGATAATCGCTTGAACCCAGGGAGGCGGAGGTTGCAGTGAGCTGAGATTGCGCCATTACACTCCAGCCTGGGCAACAAGAGCGAAACTCTGTCTAAAAAAATAAAATAAAATAAATAAATAACAAAACAAAACAAAACAAAATAATAATAATAAAATAAAATATAAAATAAAATAAAATAAAATAAAAAATAAAATAAAATAAAATAAAATAAATTGGTAATGACAAAATCAGAACATCCCATTTTGCAGTCCCTAGTCAACTGAAGGATCTAAGCATGTATCTACAGCATTAACAGCCAGCCACACATCTGGGCCTCCTGAAGGAAGACAACTGCACCATCTATGAAGCAGGTTTCCCAAAAAAACTGAAGTTATATTTGATTAAGCCTCTATGCCTAACTACCTACTTACAGAGAATACAGAGGAAAGGGGAACATGGTAAAGACACTAAGGGGATGAAAATGGAAAAACCTGTAAGACTGGGAAATATTAAGCAACCCAGTTTCTTAATATTTTATATTTTCAACATATTTATTATAAGGAGAAAAAACATGAAAGAGGACCTATACATGAAAAGAGACTTAAAAGATTTATCAGCTAATTCCAAGGTGTGAAACGTACCTGGATCCTGATTTTTTTAAGTGTAAAAAAGAAAAATCATTTATGACATTTTGAAACTACTGAAATTTTAACATTGATTGGATATGTAATATGAATTATTGTTAATTTTACAGGTGTGAAATGGTCTTTTAATTATGCTTTAAAAGAGAAACAATGGGCCGGGCGCAGTGGCTCATGCCTGTAATCCCAACACTTTGGGAGGTCAAAGAAGGAGGATTGGGCAATGTAGCAAGGCCCCATCTCCACAAAAAGATTTTTAAAAAACAGCCAGGCATGGTGGCATGTGCTTACAGTTCTAGCTACTCAGGATTACTTGAGCACACGAGATCAAAGTTACAGTGGGCTACGATCGTGCCACTGCACTCCAGCCTGGGGAGCAGAGCGAGACCCTGTCTGTAAAAATAATAAAATTAAATTAAATTAAAATATAAAACAAAATAGTTATTGTAATTCCAGGAGGAGACACTAAAGACATTTTGAAAAATTTTATTAATACTGTATAATTATTATTGAACGGTCCTTCTCTACTCTCACTACCTGCTTCTGTAATGAAATACACCAGAGTGCCTGACCTCTTTGTGTATCTCTGAATATAAACATTCTACTGTATAAAGCAATAGTTGTTTAGAACGAGAGAGCTCGGGATAAAGACATGTTAGAGAGAGATACTGTCACAAAGTCTTCTGCATCACACTACATGAAGCAAATTTCCAGGGTATTAAAAAAAAACTTAATACATTTTAGGTTTGAAAAGTACAACAAGGCCCGATACGGTGGCTCACAACTGTAATCCCAGAACTGTGGGAAGCTAAGGTGGGTGGATTGCTTGAGCCCAGGAGTTCGAGACCAGCCTGGGCAACATGGTGAAACCCTGTTTCTATAAAAAAATTTTTTTTTAAATTAGCCAGGCGTGGTGGTACATGCCTGTAGTCCCAGCTACTCAGGAGGCTGAGGTGGGAGGATCACTTGAGCCTGGAGACAGAGGCTGCAGTGAGCTATACTTGTGCCACTCCACTCCAGCCTGGGCTACAGAGTGAGACCTTGTCTCCAAAAGAAAAAAAGGACAAGATTAAGAAAAAAACTCTATGCATACTAAAATAACTCTATTGCCTTCTAAAATGATGGAGGGAAAAACTAAGTTGGTTAAAATAGCTAATTATAAGGGTTTTCTTCATTTTTAAAAATGCTGAAGGATATTTGAGATGATGGAAAGATAATTCATTTTAGTAGTGACCATTAAATACTTAGCATGAGATTTTTACTCTAGTCTGCTACAAACAAAGAGGCAAAAATAGATAAGAAAAAATATGTGGGACAGCAAAAAAAGGAGTCCAGAGGCTCTAGGAAAAGCGTGATGGCTCAAAATCTCCAAAAATGGCCTATTGGATATACAAGAAGAATCAAAGATATACCTATTTAACATATATAATGCTCTTCAGTGGGCCACTGTCAGTCCAATATGAAAACAACTAGAAGCCTCTTTTTCACCATCTAAATACCAGTCCTAAATAAACAATTTTAGAGCAGTTTTAGATTCACAGTAAAATTATGTTTAAAGTACAGAGAGTTTTCATATACTCCCTGTCCCCACACATGCACAGTCTACCCTATTATAAACAACCCACACTAGAGTGGTACATTTTGTCCTATCACTGAACCAACATTGACAAATCACTATCATCCAAAGTCCAGAGTTTACATTAGGGTTCACTCTTGGTATTGTACATTCTATACTTTTGGACAAATGTATCATAACAACATGTATCCACCATTATGATACAGAATAGTATCACTGCCCTAAAAATCCTCTGTGCTCTGGTCTATTCATCCCTCTCCTCCAAACGCCTGGCACACTTCCTAACACTTTTTGAATGTGACCAAAACAGGCTGGAATGGGCATTTCTAGTCCTCAAGGAAAGAAATTCCTATAAAGACTACAGTAATAATGCTGGCCTCTTCGAGGTTATATAAACAGCTTCTCTCCCTTTATTATGCACAAATTCAGATTGTTGTTTCTAACAATTTATCAACATGCATTTCCTAAATTATTTTCTGAATGTTTTATATTGGCAATGTAGTAGCAATCCATTTCTGGCAATAATACCCATTTGACCTCTGCTTGAACTGACATCAACCCTTCAAAAAGTCTAAAACATATGCTTTTAAAAGAACCCAATTTGTTTTCTGCAGTTATCAAAGAGCAAATCTGGGCCTTGGACAATGCATTTTATTCTCCATCTGTACATTATAACATTACAGCTTATTAACCTCTAAAGAAAATATCTTTCAATTTCTGACCCACATCTCCCAAGTTGCTGATTTAAAATAACTGATTAAAGACTTCTATCCAATTACTTAGAAAATGGATTCTCTTGAACCGTTCAGAAGTTCTTAGAAAAAAAAATGAATCATCTTACTGACAGTCTTTGCAGCTTTGCGGGAGCTCCAGTCACTTGTAACCGGAAGAAATAAGTAACACACTGTAATTACAGTCCCAATTAAGAGACAGAAAATGAAGATAAAACTTGAGTTGTATTCTATTTTCAGAAACTTAACAGAAGACATAAGCTTTTCCTTAAGAAAATATTTTTTTTAAATAAAAAAATTACTTCAGGGCCTGATATCTCATGGTGTTCTGTCAATTTCCTTGGGCCATTCAGTTTTGACTGAAACATCATTCCTAAGTAAGTATGCTGCAATCTTCCATCACTTTATATATCACTTCCATCACTTTATACAAGATAAGCATTACCTTTGATTTTTCTTCATTTTCTCTATAAAATTCTGCCATCTGTTCCTCCTGCTCTTCAATAACATCCTTGAGTGTGTCTACTTGGTAGATCAAATTGTTCTTCTCATTGTCTAACTGTGCATTGGAAACCATGGCTTTCTTGTATTTTTCTTCCACTTCAGACAAAGATTCCTAAATGAGAGTTGAAGTCATCAGTCTGATATCTAAAATATGTTAATTGAATATATGCAATATAACAGGAAATTATAGCACTGCCACAAACACATAAAGATGCATTTTCATAAAATACAAGCGGTTTGGGGAACTCCTTGTTTAGTTACATGCACGTGAAACAGGAAGACAATAATAAGCCAATAATGCCTTTATAAGAACAATATGTGCTGTTCCCCAAGAAAACAAAATTAAGCAGCAATATAGCCTTTGAAAGAAGAAAAGGAGTGCAAACAACGTATATCTGTAAGAGTCACAAAATGAAAAATCGTCAATATTTTCAGAAATTTTACTCTTGTAATTTTAACAACAGACTGGTGTTCAGAATGCAGTGATACCACAAAATACAGCCTCTCTTTACATAAGTGAACTTCATACTCATTTGAATTTTGCCACTTTCTAGACAGTTGTTTTTAGTACTTTCCTGTTCTGCATAAAAACGCTAATGTAAAGGTAAATATTTTTTTCTAGCAATTATCCAAATTTCAGTCATGTTTAAGCAATATAAAAATTAATATTAAAAAAAAGGGCTTGGCCAGGCACAGTGGCTCATCTCTGTAATCCCAGCACTTTGGGAGGTCAAGGTGGGTAGACTGCTTGAGCCCAGGAGCTCAAGACAAGCCTGGGCCACATGACAAAACCCTGTCTCAACAAAAAAAAAAATACAAAAATTAGCCAGACAGGGTGGTGCACACCTGTAGCCCCAGCTACTTGGGATGCTAGGTGGGAAGACTGATTGAGCCCAGGAGTTCAGGGCTGCAGTAAGCAGAGATCGTGCCACTGCACTCCAGCCTGGGTGACAGAGTGAGACCCTATCTCTATCAATCAATCAATAAAATAAAACAAAATAAAATAAAGAGTTTGATCTAATGCCACAGTTTTGATGTAAAAAAAAAGAAAAGGTACCACAAAATGCCTGAAATGTTACATATCTCAAAATTTTCTGCCTAAAATAGCTCACATTTTTTGTGTGTGTAACTGTATCTACTTTGGTAATTACTACTGCCTAGTGACTTTTTTTAAAGCTAAAAAAAAAAATGTTTCACACAGGAAAAGTAATCATTTATGGAAATAAATTTTAAAACTACTAGTGCAAATGTTTATCAATGAAATGGAACTAAGAGCCCAGAACTTACATTTACAATCAGTTAATCTGGACAAAGGGATCCATGTAACTCAATGGGAAAAGAATGAATGGTATTGGGACAAGTGGATACCCACAAACAAAAGAATGAAGTTGGACTCCTACCTCACACCATACACAAAAATCAACTCACCAAGAGCCATAGATCTAAATGTAAGAGCTAAAACAATAAAACGCTTCAAAGAAAATATGGATAAATCTTCATGACCTTGGGATAGGCAGTGGTTTTTTAGATATACCAAAAGCACTATAAACTAGCCGGGCGTGGTACCTCATGCCTGTAATCCCGGTACTTTGGGAGGCTGAGGCAGGCAGATCACTTGAGGTCAGGAGTTCAAGACCAGCTTGACCAACATGGTGAAACCCTATCTCTACTAAAAATACAAAAATTAGCCGGGCATTGTGGTGGGTGCCTGTAATCTCAGCTACTCGGGAGGTTGAGGCAGGAGAATCACTTGAACCCAGGAGGTAGAGGTTGCAGTGAGCCAAGATCGTGCCACTGCACCCCAGCCTGGGTAACAGAGTGAGACCCTGTCTCAAAAACAAACAAACAAACAAAAAGCATTATAAACCAAAAAGAGACTTCACCCAAATATAAAACTTTTTTTCTTTTTTTTTTTGAGATGGAGTCTCACACTGTTGCCCTGGCTGGAGTGCAATCGCACGATCTCGGCTCACTGCAACCTCCACCTCCTGGGTTTACACAATTCTCCTGCCTCAGCCTCCTGCATAGCTGGAATTACAGGCGCACACCACCACACCTGGCTAATTTTTTGTATTTTTTAGTAGAGATGGGTTTCACTATGTTGGCTAGACTGGTCTCAAACTCCTGAACTCATGATCTGCCCACCTCAGCCTCCCAAAATGCTGGTATTACAGGTGTGAGCTACCACGCCTGGCGCAAATGTAAAACTTTTATGCTGCAAATGATATGATCAAGAAAGTAAAAAGATAACCCACAGAATGCGAGAAAATATTTATAAATCTTATGTCTGATAAGGGACTTACATGCAGAATAATATATAAATAACTCTTAAAACTCAACAATAAAAGACACACAAATCAATTTAAAAATGGGCAAGGACCTGGATATTTCTCCAAAGAGGATATGCAAATGGCAAATAAGCACAGGAAAACATGCTCAACATCATTAGTGATTAGGAAAATGCACATGAAAACCAAAATAAGATACCACTTCACATTCACTAGGATGGCTATAATCTATAATCAAAAACACAGAAGCCAAGTGTTAGTAAGGATGTGGAGAAACTAGATCTCCCATACATTGCTGGTAGGAACATAAAATGGTGCAGCTACTTTGGAAAACAGTTTGACAATTCCTCAAAATGTTAAATATAGTGTTACCATAAGACCCACCAATTCTATTCCTAGCAATCTACCAAAGAGAATTGAAAAGATATGTCTACACAAACACTTGTACACAAATGTTCACAGCAGCATTATTCATAATAGCCAGAAAAGTATGAACAACCCAAATGCCTATTAACTGACAAATGGATTAACAAAATGCAGCAAATCCATACAGTGGAATACTATCTAGCCATTAAAAAAAGACTGACAGATAATACGACATGGGTGAATATTGAATGTATTATGCTAAATGAAAGCCAATCACAAAAGACTACATATTGTATGATTCCATTTGTAATAAATCTCCAGAATAGGCGAATCTACAGAGACAGAAAGTTAGTGATTGGGGCTTCTTTTCTGGGTGATGAAAATGTTCTAAAGATGGGTTGTGGTGCTAGTTGCACAACTCTGTGAGTATGCTAAAAACTACTGAATTATATATTTTAAATGGGTAAATTTTTATGGAATGTGAATTACATCTAAATAAAAACACAAACATACACACTTTTTTTTTTTTTTTTTTTTTTTTTTTGGAGACAGGGTCTCACTCTGTCACCCAGGCTGGACTACTGTGGCACAATCTCAGCTATGCAGCTTCAACCTCCCCAGACTCAGGTGATTCTCCCATGTCAGCCTCCCAAGTAACTGGGACCACAGGCATGTGCTACCACACCTGGCTAATTTTTTGTAGAGACAAGGTTTCACCATGTTGCCCGGGTTGATCTCAAACTCCTGGGCTCAAGTGATCCACCCGCTTTGGCCTCTAAAACTGGATTTTAGGTATAAGTCACCGTGTCCGGCCACACACACTTTTAATAATGCTTCATAAACCAGAATTAAGTTGTCAGGTAAGATTTAAACTATGATTAGAAACAAATTTAACCAAAACAAAGAATATAAGCAAAGTCAATTATACAGTGCTCTAAATATATCTAAATGTATCTTACTATAATGCAGACTTTAAAATAATTCTCATCCATCTGAGAGGCTAATAGCAGAAAAAATATCAATATCAATAAAGCAAAAGTCTTCCTTGACAATGCTCCCTCCAGAGGCACAAGCGCTATTGGTTTGGTAGATTATCTTTCAGGCCATTTCCTATTTGTTTACAGTATAAAATATATACCCTTGACTTCATATATATTTTTAATACAAATTATATACTCTACATTTTGTTCTATAGTTTGCCTTTTTTCAATACATCTTGGAAAGTTTTCAGTCACTAGATATAGATTTACTATTGTTATTTATTGCTGTAACTCTGTACTTAAATTTAATAAGGTATTCATTTTAATAGTTTTTAAAATGGGTTAATGGGTTTAGTTGTTTGACTTACAAAATCATTAATCTTTTAAGAAATAGATCAGTTAAATTTTACAATTAATATTTTACTGCATTTTCTGGGTAACAGTGTACACTATATACTAGTACAGCATGGGCAAATGCTGTATTAGTAATAATAAACTTTCCCGATAAAAGGGTGGAGGGGAGAGTGGTAGAGAACATCCCAAAGGCAAACATAGTTAAGAGTAATGTCACAAGCAATGAGCCAACATCCTTTTTCAATATGATGCATCATCCCACCATGCTTGGTCACCAATCAGACAATCTTTTCTTTATTTTTATGGGTTTTTTTTCCACTTCAAGTGTCAAGGATAAATGTAATCTGAAGTCAAGTTCAATTATACTCTGGCATGAATTAGGAAAAGGGATCTCATCTGTTCAAATCTCAAATCTAATCTGTTCCTTTGTATTCGTCAAAGAATGCAATAAATGGTAGATCTAACATGAAAGGAAAAAAAGTTTTAAATAAAATAAAATGACAGTAAGAATGCCCCTGAATCACACGATTGCTTTCCTGATACACTGTTAAACATGTGACTTTAATATAAGCATATTTATTTAATGTACCGATTTGTTTGATCCAAGATATTTCCAAAAATCGTATCTCTAAAACCTTAAAAGAGAGATTAAATCCTGAAGATTAAAGGAGTAAGATTAAATGAGAACATCAACTAATTCTGTAATTCTTCTGATATTTACCGACAAACTCATGCTGCCCTATCAGCAACTTGCAGGCTTCCCTCATGGGCACTTCCCATTGGACTTCTCACCTTTTTGGGTCCTCAGTCTTACTCTGTTTCTCATGAACCATATCACTTGCATGAAGAGTTTGGCTGATAGTGAGGCTACTCCAAATCATGCCAGGGAAGATGACAAAATCCTTGCCCATGAAGTCCATGCTTTGTCCTTTGGATATATCCTGAGTCATCTTTCTAAATGTCTTGCTTTTTGTTTTTTTAGAGGTGTAGTGGGTATTTTGCTTTTTTGTTTTTTGTTTGTTTTGAGACAGAGTCTCGCTCTGTTGCCCAGGCTGGAGTGAAATGGCACCATCTCAGCTCACTGCAACCTCCACCTCCCAGGTTCAAGCAATTCTCCTGCCTCAGCCTCCCAAGTAGCTTGGATTACAGGCGCCTGCCACCATGCCTGGTGAATTTTTTGTATTTTTAGTACAGACAGGGTTTCGTCATGTTGGCCAGGCTGGTCTCAAACTCCTGACCTCAGGTGATCCGCCTGCCTCGGCCTCCCAAAGTGCTGGGATTACAGGCGTGAGCCATCGTGCCTGGCCTGTAGTGTGTATTCTGATTTCAAATCAGGACATACATGTGTTTAAATAAACTTCTGGTTTCTTCATAACACGAGGCTTGAACTTCAGAATGAAATGTGAGGAAAGAAGAGCATGATAACCAATGCTATTTACAACCATAACTGTCTGCCTCACACATTTACATTAAAAAATGTTAGTCATCCTTTCTGGGAAAAGATAAAGACCATTTACATTTACCTCCAAATTCTTTAAGGCACTAGATCTGTGTCATCATTTTTGACCTATAGGTTAAAAAAAATCCAAGCCAAAAGAAAATATAGGCCTCATGTCTTCATGTTCCTTCCTCCAGGGGGGGATATTTATAATAATGGTGTCTCAGTTGCTACTTCCTCCCACATTTAATACTGACTGAGTTTGGTAACAGAAATATGCAACACTTTTTCATTTAGCGTGGAAAAATTTTGAGGTCCAATTCTCAATAAAAATATTCTTAGTATTTTTTTAGGTGTTTGACCAATTTAATTTTGTATGACTAAGACACAAGGGATGTGCATGTACTTTACAAGGTTTTAAAATTGTAAAAGAGGCTGGGTGAGGTAGCTCATGCCTGTAATCCCAGCACTTTGGGAGGCCAAGGCAGGAGGACGGCTTGAGCCCAGGAGTTCGAGACCAGCCTGGGCAACACAGTGAGACCCTGTCTCTATAAGAAAAAATAAAAAAGAGAAAAAAAACTGTAAATGATATCTTCTGCTGAATACTTAAAAACTCTACTACACATTTAAACATAAGCAGAGATTGAAAGTTCACCATTCCTATGCACTGCAGGTTAAGCACATGCTTGAAAGACAAACACTGTTAGTAAAGCTATGTGCAGTTGGTTAACAGAACTTGCAAAGCCACCACTGCCAACACTTCTGCATACAGAGCATGCTTGGGCTGCAGAATGGGCCCTGATACCTTTAGTTCTTTAAGCCCCTGCATGTATCTCCCTTCTACATCCTGTATCTGGTCCTTAAGGTCATAGATATCCTGCAGGACATAGGAATGAACCATTGCATAAAATCATGCACAAACATATCTTAAATCACAAAGGATTCAGAAGAAATGTGACTCACTTTTGTATATTCCAGACTAAAAGCAGAGAAATCAAAGTACAAAAACATAACTCCCACTCCCAACCACTGAAAAGGGCAAATAGGTCAGGGGATAGTGGGACTGGGGGAAGGTCTAGAGTAATCAATCTAATGTTAAATATTTTCTTGGCATTAAATTCTGTTAACAGCGTAGCAAACGGGGACAGGGCTATACATGGAGGAAAAAGCTATATAAATTATAATATTTAAAATCATACAACTTTTAATATTCTATAAATCACTTAAAATTTTAGCATAATGCTTCACCTAGAACTAGTAAAATATACAGTAAATGAGACAGTAAATAACATTTAAAATCATACAACTTAATATTTTATAAATCACTTAAAATTTTTAACATAATGCTTCACCTAGAACTAGTAAAATATACAGTAAATTAATAAGAAGGAGCCAATTTTAATGAATCATGCAAAAGTTTTTAAAAAATATAATAAATGAATATGAACACAGTTTTCTTTCAATGACTTGGTTACTGGCCACAATTAACTTGAGAGAAAGGGAGTAAAGGAAAGGAAGTTAAACATTTTGAACAGAATGTCAAATGAGATATTCTATCCTGAGGATACCATTTAAATGATGAGAAAAGCACTTGCTCCAAATGTTACCATAATTCTTATAAGAAAAGTGAAACTGGTTAAATTTTAAATGGAAAATATTGTTTCCCTGTGCCTGACCTTGTTATATAAGGTCTATTCTGAGTGCTCGATTTATGTCTGAAATAACTGTACAGGGCCCTAAATACAATTCTGCAATTACAAGCAGGATCAATTATTAAAAGCTGATTATACACATTTTTGGTATTATACTTTCCCTGCCTCCTTCATTGCCTCTCCAATAGGTTTGACTGTCTTTTACTCATTGATTCATTCAATAGACATTTACGAAGGACCTATTAGGAGGCAGATGCTAGGATACAAAAATAACACTTCCTTCAAGAAGGTCATTCTCTCAAGGAAGAAAAAACAAGTTGTTGACAAAAGCAAGCTAAGTCTAAGGCTGGAAGGCCTTGTCCTCATATCCTTTTGTCCCATTAGAATGCAGCAGCTAATGGCAAGAGTTCATCTTATTCAACTTTCCACCTGGCACTTATGTCTGGTACACAGTAAGAGCTGTTAAGAGTTCAATTAATACTGACACCTTCAAACCAATGGCCATGCTGGCCTAGGTGCTCTCCTTCTCTGCCACTGTTGCAAGTCTCTCCATCCTCCCCTAACCCCCTAACCCACTTTCATAAGTCAGACTCTTTTTCCAACCCTACCGACAATTTTTTTTTTCTTTCTTTTTTTTTTTTTGAGATGGAGTCTCGCACTGTCGCCCAGGCTGGAGTGCAATGGCGCGATCTCGGCTCACTGCAACCTCCACCTTCTGGGTTCAAGCGATTCTCCTGCCTCAGCCTCCCAAGTAGCTGTGATTACAGGTGCCTACAACCACGCCCAGCTAATTTTTTGTATTTTTAGTACAGACAAGGTTTCACTATGTTGACCAGGCTGGTCTCAAACTCCTGACCTCGTGATACGTCTGCCTCGGCCTCCCAAAGTCCTGGGATTACAGGGGTGACAAATTTTTTTTTAAAGGCTAGTCAAGTGAAGCAATGAAGGTGGAGAAGGAACAAATAAATCTGTAACTGCTTGTGATCAATTACTTGTAAACACTACTGCACTCAGATGAGCCCCTACCTACAATCTCAGTCACCACCTGTCCTCTACCTCCCCACCAGTGAAGAGGGGACCTCCAGTCCAGGCAAGCTCATCCATCTGAGTCCTGGACTCTCCTCTCACCCACTCAGGCACTTTGATCTGTCAGTTACCCCTCTCCTTCCTCAACCTTCATCTTCTCTCTACTGGCTCAACCCAACCAAAGAAAATAATAATCGATCTCACCTTCAAAAGAAAGCTAAAAACCTTTTCTTAAATTTTTCTCTCCCTACCTATTGCCCAACCAATTCCCAGTCTCTCGTATTCACTCCAGAGCAAGTTTATCACATTTTCTCCCCTTGCAGTTTTGACTTGCTCACCTCATCCTCATTGTTGAACCACTGCTCTTCTGGCCTGCAATGCTTCCTCTGACTGTTATCAAATTATTTTTTAAGAATGCAAAGCAGATAGTGTTGCTCTCCTAGATAGATCCCATAATTGTCAGGGTAAAACTGAATTCGTTTCAGGCTAGCATACAAGATGCTTTGTGATTTGGCCCCCCACTACTTTTCCAGCCTTCTCTCTTACATGCTACTATTCTTCACTTCTCATCCTACCCTCTGGCAACTCTGCTATACAGGTAGCTTTCTGGGTTCTCTGAATGCATCTCCTTGAGAAAGCCTTTCCCCTTCAATTTCTTTGCTTGGTTAATTTTTATTTTTCCTTTAAACCTTAGCTCAGAGTTCGTCTTTTCTGAAAAGCTTTTTGTTATCTCTTCTCCTGGTCCAATTTAGATCATGCTTTTTTGAACTACCTTAACAGCCCCATTCTTGCTACTACCATTGTATAACACCACCTGGTTTTATTGGTTTGTATCAGTTTGTCTTCCCTATGAAACAGGGAAATCCTGAAGGCCAGAATGTATTTTGCCTCTTAAATCTCCAAGGCCAAGTGCTCAATAAATCTTGAGTGAACGAATGTATATAATTTCTCTTACTACCCCTTACTTCACAAATAGCAAGTTCAGCAAATAAAATATATATTTTTTAAAGTACTCTTTTTCTAAGTAAAGGGGTTAATAAAGATAGAGACTTAATTAATGAGTCAAATAAGCTTTTCATTATCTCAGGTATTTCTGTTACCCAAATATTATTACACTTCTATTACTATGAAAAACTGAGAGATAACTATGTTCAAGCAGCTGAATACCATCAAGGCTCAAAAAACTAATAATTCCCACAATCTAGTTCTTTGTACACCCACATATTTTCCATTTAAAACATGGCCAGTTGTTTCTGAGAGAATTAATTTTACATACATTACAAAGTGGTCTTTTCTGGCATCTGTAAATTAGCAGAAATTCCAACACCATCAAATTTTCAGGAAAGAGGACAGAAAAAAGAATTAACTCATCTCCTTCCTTTCAAGCACTGAAACACCTGAGTCACACTTTTGTACTGTACTTATTTTTTAATAAAGAAATCATATTCCGTCTTTCTACTAAGTCACATTAAAGGTTAAAAGTTCCAGTATATCACCAAGAAGTCAAGTTTTCTTTTAAAAAGAAAACCAAAAACTTCAGTTTACCCGCAATTCACTTAATGAGGTGTCTGGATCTATTAAGCTGCTGGTGTCCCCACTTCCTCGTCTGGATGAGTTTCCACTTAGAGGGGTTGTTGCTGAGGCAGAATTTCGAGATGAAGGCTAGAAAGAGAAATATGACCCTTCTAAGTCTCATTTCTTTAAAAATATGTTTATAGTGGAAACTAAAAACAGGGCAGAGTAGTTGGGGGAAGATGTGGGCTTCAGATGAAGAAATTACCATGTGTAATCAATGGTCAATTTAGATTGGCTTTGCAGGTATCCAGGTATCCAGAGAAGGGCCCAAGCATACTAAGCAAAATTTCATGAACACAAATACCTCATCAAAATCTGTAATTCATCATAACTACAAAGAAAATAGTTTTTATGAGGATTATTTTCTAAGTTTATCTTTGCTATCCTGTAAACAATACTGAAGTGAGCACATCAGATTAACTTAAAGCAGTTTTAGCATTTTATAACTGATATGCTAAACAGCACTTCCCCTTTTTAATTTCTGAACTGCTTATCAATCTCAATACTGTGTTGAGTTGATAAAGATGAAGATACTATTTGTAGCAGAGAGCAGCAACACTGGATATCACTATGAATGTAGACTGTTCTTCCCAAAATTCATTTAAACGTGAGATTATGCTATCGATTAATAAACTGCATGAATCTGTGCTGTCCAATATACTTGCGATTAGCCACATGCAGCTACTAATACTTGAAATGTGGTTAGTCCAAATTGAGAGTTGCGTATAGGATACATCCCAGATTCTGAAGGCATAGTGTAGAAAAACGAATGAAATATATCTCATTAACAATTTTATATTTATTATTTTTATTTATTTATTTATTTATTTTGAGGTGAAGTCTCGCTCTGTTGCCCAGGCTGGAGTGCAGTGGCACGATCTCAGCTCACTGCAACCTCTACCTCCCAGATTCACGCAATTCTCCTGCCTTAGCCTCCCAGACTGAGGAGTAGCTGGGACAACAGGCATGCAAAACCATGACTGGCCAAGTGATACACCCACCTTGGCCTCCCAAAGTGTTGGGATTACAGGCATGAGCTACCTAGTCTGGTCTAGTAATTTTATATTGATTATATGTTGAAATAGTTTAGATATCTGGATTAAATAAAATATATTACCTAAATTAATTTTACCTGCTTTTTACTTTTTAAATGTGGCTACCAGAAAATTTAAACTTACATATAAGTTCGCACTTGGGGCTTGCATTACATTTCTACTGGACAGAGCTAATTTTTCTTGGGTATAGCATAAAATTAATCTTGATAAATCATCTCCCTGACTTTCTAAAAATACTTTCAGAAGAGACTTTAACACAAAGCAAATTCTAGAAAGGAGCTATTTTACTTCAAGAAACAATTTATATATAAAAGGAAAAAACATCTCAGAGTCTGCCACCACCATTCCTAAAGAAACTTCATTTTCAGTGTTTACTGGCTTCTTAGGATCAATTTCTAGAGGAATGAAAATCAAAAGAGCAGCCAAAAGCTAAAGAGGTGACATTCAAGGAAATAAAATGCAGTGCCTTTTCTCTTCCCAGGGCCTCACATGATTTAACTTCGAAGGAACTTTGAAGGGTCAAGGACAGGAAATAGATAAAGGGAGGAAAAGCGGCTACATCAGACCAATTGTTGTAAAATAAATAATGAACAAGTTACAGATAGCAAGTTTAATTGACCTTGAGAATTTCCCTTAGGAATTTACATACTCACTCTTGTATAATTTTCAGCATACTGTTTGTCAGATTTTTCATCCAACTAGAAAAGAACAAAGATAAAAATCAGGAAAGATGCTTAGCAAGTTGATTTTTTTTAGGAGGAAAAAAGTGATCTTGAGTTTTCCAAGTTCAATGATGTTTGAAGCCTAAAAATAAACATATTAAAAATGAAATAAAAATTCCAGCTTAACATAAGACAAAATGTCGGCAACTTTAATTTTTATCCTAAGGAAGACACTGAGTAAGCAATCTATGTTTACTCAAAAGTTTAGAACTTTTGGGTAAATTTTCTGTTTACGGTATTTAAAACACATTAAAGAAGGCTACATATAAAAAGTTTTAGCACTGCAAATGTTAATACAAAAAAACCTTGTACATATCAAAAAGAAAAGTCTGATAAAACCAAAAGTGATAAACCTTTATTTCTAAGCATTATTAGGACACAGGACACATAGATAAAGACTAGTACACTCAGTCAAGAAAGTTCAGATTGGATTAAAGCATGTTAAATATGTCACCAAAATATTTTTCCCCACATCAAGGATTTTTTGTTTTATCAGTAATACATGCACATGTGACCAAAAAAAATCAAACAGCACAAAAGGGTATGAGTAGGGCTCTCTCCCTACCATGCCATACCCTGACCACCAGTCTCTAATAGCAACCAACCACAAAGTCTTTAAAAAATTCTAGTAAGTGTCCCATACGTGTTCTACACCTTCTTTTTCCCCTTACCAAGTCTCAGAGATTTGAGAAAGTACTTCATCTTTCTTCATAGCATTTATCACTCCCTGACACTATGGTATTTATCCATTTATTTATTGTCTGCTGTCTTTCTAAAATGTAAGCTCTCTATCAGTATGTTCTTTTCTGCACTCCTAATATCCAGAATAGTGTCTGGCATACAGAAGGGCTCAAAATTTGTTGGATGAATGAATAAATTGTACCCCATCTATACTAATAGACTTCCCTCATTTATTTTAAATAGCTTCATAGTAGCCTGTTATCTCAACTTGCCATAATTAAGTTAACCTATCTTCTGCTGTAGGCCTTAAGGTTGTTTCAGACACTGTTTCAAGAAGGGAAGTACCTTAAAAGTCTAGTCCAAACCCTGAGTTTTACAGCTAAGGAAAAAGAAATTGAGAGGTGAAAGATTTTGCTGACGGTTGCAGAGCTGAATCCAACCCTTAGTTTTGTAAATTTTCAATTCAGTGTTCATATTGTTTACCTGAATATATATGCTATTCCAATTATCACCAGGAGAAAAAAGGCACATAGGGATGTAACTAAATGAAAATAACTCCAACTCCGACACAAACCTTCTAGGCCCAATCTAGAGAAGAGATCTGAAAACATTTCTCAGTTAATTATTAAAACATGAAACATCATTTCTGGCTCTACTCAGATCACTTCACCCTAACTTCCACATATTTGAAAGTTTTTGGTGTTCTTTTTATTACCCACACTTATGTTTATAAATATTCTTTATTATGATGATAGTAATACATCAGTAATATAAACACTATTTTTAGACATTTAACTCTTTGTTACTTCATGCTGTAAAAACTCTGAAAAACTAATTTTAGTTCATTTTGATTTTTAAAACAACATATAAATGTTTCAAAGCAGGTAGTGACAGCGATTGAAATGGTTTTTTGTTTTTTTTTTAAAATTTTTTCTTTTTTTTTTTTGAGACAGAGTCTCACTCTGTCACCCAGGCTGGAGTACAATGGTGCGATCTTGGCTCACTGCAACCTCTGCCTCCCAGGTTCAAGCTACTCTCCTTGCCTCAGCCTCCCAAGTAACTGGGATTACAGGCACCCATCATCATGCCCGGCTAATTTTTTTTGTATTTTTAGAAGAGATGGGGTTTCACCACGTTGGCCAGGCTGGTCTCAAAATCCTGACCTCAAGTGATCCGCCTGCCTCAGCCTCCCAAAGTGCTGGGATTATATGTATGAGCCACCATGCCTGTCCTAAAATTTGTTTTTAAATACTATATTGGCAATTATTGCCATAAAAAGGAATAATCCTTTTACACATCTATACTGCATTGCCCAATATTTAATGTATTATTCTTCAAGATGAAAGAAATATTATATTTGAATAAACTGCCTTATTTTCCTGAGTATTTTCCAACTCTTTTCTGCTAATGTGTTAAAGAGAAAAGCACGTAGCATTCAAAGTTAAAAGTCTTCTAAGCTTATTTGAAATCCTTCCTCAAACCCACTTCTCACAAAACTGACCTCCAAACTCACCCAGTTTTTAACAGACTGTCCCTGGAATAATCTTACATTTCAGAGGTTGCATCACTGAACTAATCCATCACAATGTTGACTCTATTGCTTTCACTGTCTTCTAAGAGATCCCAACTGTCGCAACCCAAACTGATCACGCACCAAACCTCAGAGACTGTCAAGCCAGCAAAAATCACCCAAAGCAACCATGTCACAGTTCTCTTATTTTGGCTATACTAACTTGGCCAGTTCTCACTTCTGAGACTTGTACTATATTGCATGCCGTCTTCCATTTAGACAAAAACCTAGTTGAAACTTGGTATTCTAAAAGCCCAATAGGATCCAACAGCCAAGAGTTCTACGTGGCTGCAATGCAATAACAAGCTAATGTTCATAATGATGATCCAGAGTCTGCCAGATCCAGAAAAAAGCTTTTTAAACAGAATAAAATTTAATCATATTTAATATATTAACATGTAAAACTGTAGTTTAATAAAGTATTTACAGTGCAGTTTCTTCAATGCAGTCATTGGGTCTTGATCCTTTGTTAATTTCTAATTTATATACATACTAACTTGATAAAGCTACTCAAAAATTGTTTGAAAAAATACCTGAGTCCACAACCACAGAAGGGAAGACATCAATCAATTTTAACAATTCCCTAAAGCAAAACTGGCTAAGGATTCCATTTAGAAATGGGTTTAATTATTAACAATCAGCAAAATTTCAGTTTTAACTAAAACACATTTACATTTGTTTGCTTTATTGTAGCCTGACTTACAAAACAGAAACAAAGCCAATGCAGAAGAAAATTAGAGGCTAGAGCCACCAAAAATATTATATAGGCTTGCAGAATCATGACCTGGCACCCTTTCTCAGCACCTCCTAGCTCAGAAGTTATAAACTATCAGCCTACAAACATATTTAGTACACAATGAGGTAACCAGAAAATGTCTTTTAAAATTCTGAATTCGTTGCCAGCATTTAAAAATCATATTTCATGTTGAAGTATTTCCAGGTCATCTTTTTTTGAAAGTGGGAGGGAAGGGAGGTCTACCAACATGAAGTCCCCTTTGTATTCATCTACAAGATGAGCTGGACTACAGCATACTCTTTAAAAGAAATACTACTAGAGAAAGTTACTTGCTCCAGAGAGAGGCCCAAAAATACTGTATGCTTTGCCAGGAGGCAAAATTAAGGATAAGGTACTTATATATAACCATTTAAAAATATACAAATTGCCTGTAATCCCAGCGCTTTGAGAGACTGAGGCAGGAAGGTCACTTGAGCCCAAGAGTTTGAGACTGCAGTGAGCTATGATGGCTCCACTGCACTCCAGTCTGCAAGACAGAGCAAGACCCTGTCTCTTTAAATATATATATAATGTATGTGTGTATATATGCATGTATACACACATATATGTATACATATGTGTGCGTCTGTGTGTGGATACACACATACATACAAATAAACCAGTGGCTTGCAGACTATAAAATAACAGGGGTTAGCCAGATTTGTAAATCCCTGCTCTAGAGAACTTTACCTGTTAAAGAGTTATAGCTAACTAGTAGGGGCAGGGGGAGATTTTTTAAACTGTCAGCATTTTCACTTATATGTAATTACTAAAGTAAATCATCACAAAATAAATGTAAGGAAGACATAACTATTAATTCAGATATTATAAATTAAGAGGCTGACAGAATTCAGTTTTTAAGAGAACAGATGTAAACAATAAGTTTAATTGTCCATATTTACAGGGGAAAAAAGGGGATTAATAGCCAATTTAATAATAAGGGCAATATTTCAGGGGAATGACTTGGAAACCAGTCTTCTAACTTTGTATGCAGAGAGAGTTATTGATTAGACCCACACCAAGATGATACTGTTGCATAGCCAGATTTGAGAACCAGTGATCTGGAATGCTTAAGAACCACACATAAAACTATCTTCTAGAATTAAAATAGTTCAGAAATTGCTATTTAAATACCATCAGTGAAATGCTAATTATAAATAATTATTTCTTCATTTAAAAACTACTCTCTAATGTTTCCATTAAGAAATGTTTGCTGGGTGCGGTGGCTCATGCATGTAATCTCATCACTTTGGGAGGTTGAGACGGGTGGATCATGAGGTTAGGAGTTCAAGACCAGCCTGGCCAAGATGGTGAAATCCCGTCTCTACTAAAAATACAAAAAATTAGCCAGGCGCGGTGGCAGGTGCCTGTAATCCCAGCTACTCGGGAGGCTAAGGCAGGAGAATCGCTTGAACTCAAGAGGGTGGGGGTTGCAGTGAGCCGAAATTATGCCACTGCATGCCAGTCTAGGCGACAGAGTGAGACTTTGTCTCAAAAAAAAAAAAAAGAAATGTTGGCCAGAAGTGATGGCTCACGCCTGTAATCCCAACACTTTGGGAGGCTGAGGCAGGTGGATTGCTTGAGGTCAGGAATTCGAGACCAGCCTAGGCAAGACAGCAAAACCCTGGCTCTACAAAAAATATAAAAATTAGCTGGGCATGATGACACACGCTTGTAGTCCCAGCTACTTTGGAGGTTGAAGCGGGAGGATCACTTGAGCCCAGGAATTTGAAGCTGCAGAGAGCCGTGATCGCGCTGCTGCACTCCAGCCTGGGCAACAGGTCTCAACCCTGTCACCAAGAAAAAAAAAAGAGGAAAGAAAGGAAAGAAAGGGGAGAAAGGGGAGAAAGGGAGAAAGGAAGAAAGGAAGAAAGGAAGAAAGGAAGAAAGGAAGAAAGGAAGAAAGGAAGAAAGGAAGAAAGGAAGAAAGGAAGAAAGAAAGAAAGAAAGAAAGAAAGAAAGAAAGAAAGAAAGAAAGAAAGGAAGAAAGGAAGAAAGGAAGAAAGGAAGAAAGAAAGAAAGAAAGAAAGAAAGAAAGAAAGAAAGAAAGAAAGAAAGAAAGAAAGAAAGATGGCGCTTCTCACCCCCTCCAAAGTGCTTGACAATGAGTACAGTCAGTATAGCCTTGGTCCGTTGGCAAAACAACACAAAGTCAGCAAGAGGAGAAGCGTCAGAGAGATAATCAGGCTGTTATTTTGAGATGAGCAGGTAGATCCTAAGTTGTTGGCTGGAGTTCATTCATTAAGACAAATGCCTGAAGGACAACCTTTCCTAAATTCAGTTCCTGATGAATATGGAAGCAATGGATAGGCACACTTCTTCAGAACAATGCCATAATCCAAATATTTAAAATATATTCAGATTCTTCCTGGTTAGTACAAATTAGTGACACTTTACTAAGTGGTATATTTCATTATTCAACTTTCTAAGTCTACCTATCACTTTATAGATTCACTAAAATCAAAAAGGAAAATAATTTTTTTAACCAATAAAGAATGTCTGAATAAGGGTTAGGTATTAGATGATACTAAGGAATTACTTATTTCATTAGTGATGATAATGATATAAGAGATCTGAAAAAATGTTCAGTTACAGATACATATTAAACTATTTATTGAGAAATGACATGACGTGGAATTTGCTTTACAATAATTCAGGGAAAAAAGGAGGGAAGGGGGAAGAAATCAATGAAAATTGGCAAAATATTGATAATTGTTGCAGATGCTGATGGGTTCTATGTGGAGATTTTTCCACAGAGCGGGAAAAAGTTTTTTTAAGAAAGGACATATTAATAAATACATTCCAAAACAGAGCAAATGTATTTGATTTTAACATGTTCAAACAATTCTTTCTTTCTTTGTTTTTTTTTGAGATGAAGTCTCGTTCTGTTGCCCAGGATATAGTGCAGTGGCATGGTCTCGGCTCACTGCAACCTCCACCTCCTGGGTTCAAGCAATTCTCCTGCCTCAGCCTCCAGAGTAGAGTAGCTGGGATTACAGGTGTGAGCCCCACACAGAGCTAATTTTTTTGTATTTTTAGTACAGACAGGGTTTCACCACGTTGGCCAGGCTGGTCTCGAACTCCTGACCTCAGGTGATCCGCCTGCTTTGACCTCTCAAAGTGCTGGAATTACAAGCGTGAGCCACCGTGCCCGGCCCAAACAAATATTTCTTAAGACAATAAATCAAGTTCCCACTTTTATTATAAAATAGCTAACATATTAGCTGTTAGTCACAAGCCTAGGACAACATAACCAACCACCCCATGCAATACACTCACGCTGGACAAATCTGGGATACTGATGTCATCCACCTCGGAGACAACACTTCCCCTACGATTGGAGCGACTGAAATAATCGGCGGCAGAAACCTTTCAGTCAGAAAAAAAATGAGATGCTTTAAAAGTTAAGAAAAAAAGAAAGAAAAAAAATAAGAACATTGGCCAATTAGAGAAAGGCTTTTTAAAATTTTGATGTGTGATAAAGTATCAAGAAATAAAATGAGGAAACTGCTGCAATTAACCTACTCAAAAAAATAAAGAAAAGGGGTTCCTAAATGAAATCACAGCCCTACAATCAGCTTTTTTACTCATCTTAACTAGAGTCCTATGCTACAGAGAACATTTACTTCCTGAGGACCAGCAAATCTCTCATGTTTAAGATATTCATCACCCTGAACAGAAGCATTTCGAGGTTAGTATCTACCTCTACTATAATTCTCAAAATGTATAATTCATTATAGCTATCAATTCTGTTAAGAATATATATGCTGAATGCAGAATTATTTGCAGGGTGTTTACTGCACCTTTTCTCAGTTTACACAGTTCCCTCTTTTTCATATTCCCAAAGACCAGGAAATGTAGGACAAAATAAAGAACGAAATGAACTATACTGGCCTCTTTTTGGTTCCCCAAACACACCAGTTCTCCCTCACCTTAGGCCTTGGCACTGGCCTAGAATGCTCCTCTCCCAGCTCTTCAAGCAACTGGCTCCTCACATTTCAGGTCTCAGTTTAATGGTCAGTTTCTCAAAGAAGCATCTCTAATCACCCCATCCAAAGGGTCACCCACATACATACCGGCCCCTCCATGTTCCCTATCACATTACCTGTTCTCTTCACACTCCCTGACATTTCTTTCTTTTTCTTTCTTTACTAGCTTATTTTCCATCTCTTTCACTAGGATATAAACTCCATAAAGTCAGAAATCTAGTCTGACTGGCTTAAAATAGTATTCCTAGCACTCAACGCAGGGCTTTGAATGTAACAGGCACTCCACAAACATTTATTTAATTTTAAAGTAAGTGATTTTTTTTTTTTTTTACCTCATTCATTATCTATTCCTTACTTCAGCTGACTGTTTGCCTTGCTTTAAAATATTTCTCAAGGAAGGGAATTCAGAAGCCCATCCAAGAGATAAAACAGGCTTACAAGTATGAAGTTTTGCTAATAACCAATACAATCAAGCAATGGTATTTTTATTCACAGTAATAATAATATAACTTGCATTTATAGATACTAATATTTATTGGCACCTATCTGAGAATTTTGATAGGTATTTTCTATATAGTATTCCATTTAATCCATATATTAAGCTTACCTACAAAGATAGTATCAACATCCCCAACGTACAAATAAAGACACTGCCATTTACACACTAATAGGTAGTAGAAGTGGATACAAGCCCAAGCATCATTATTTAGAGTCCCTGCCCTTTCCACTCCACTGCGTTCCAAGGTGTTTTTAGGTATTGTAGTATATTATTTCTCCTTCAGTTGTAAGCATGATCATTAGCTGGTTTGCTAAGGAACTACAACTGCTTTAATTAAATAAATGAATTTTGGTAACAAATCTCTCCAACATTTAATGTTCCCCTTCTCTATGAAAACTCGGGTTTATAATCTTTCACATAACGTAACTCATGTTAAATGGCCTATTTTTCTTTAAGGAATTACAGCCTCTTATGCTCTTTATTCTAGCTCTAAGCTGACATACCATCCTCAACAATGTATTTTCCAAACCAATTTCTTAAATATAACTAAAATGTCATCAGTTTTCTGTAAAATTTCCAGCTTCATTAAAGAGTAACCTGAAATTATACCATTTGTATTCTAATATAGCTACTTGTTGCCTCTACAATTATTATCCAATTGAATGTCTAAGACTAGAATTTTTAAATTTTGTCATCAGCAATTCTTAAATTCACCAGCTTTTTTTTTTTTTTTTTTTTTTGAGAGGCAGAGGCTCATTTTGCTCACCACGCTGGAGTGCAGTGATGCAGTCATAGCTCACTG